AAAAAAAAAAAAAAAGTAAAAAGACAACCCACAGAATGGAAGAAAATTGCAAATCATGTGTCAAAATATATAAAGAATTCTTAAAATTCAAAAATAAAGACACAACTTAACGATGGGCAAAAGATTTGAATAGACATTTCTCTAGTGAAGATATACAAATAAATTATAAGCACATGAAAAGATGCTCACCATTAGCCACCAGAGAAATGCAAATCAAAACAAGAGTGAAACTCCACTAGGATGACGACAATCAAAAATAAAGATAGTAATAAAGTCTTGGTGAGGATGTTGAGAAATTGTACACTGCTGGTGGGAATGTGAAGTGGTGCAGCTGATTTAGAAAACAGTTTGGCAGGTCCTCAAATAGTTAAATATAGAGTATGTATCATAGGCATACAGATCGATATTGTATGGTTCTATTTATATGACATGTCCAGAACAGGTATATCCCTAGAGACAGAAAGTAGATTAGTGGTTGCCAGGGCCCAGTGGGAGAAAGAAAGGGGGCCACGAAGAGTGACTGCTAACGAGTACGGGTTTTTTCTTGGGGCGATGAAAATGTGGTCTGATGAGATTAGCCGTGATGGTTGCACAACTCCGTGAATACACTAAAACCACTGAGTTACAGACTTATGGAGTGAATTTTATGGTACGTGAGTTATGTCTCAATAAAGCTGTTATTTAAAAACAACAAAAGGACTAATTAAGGGCTGTGGGCACTCTTGGTGATCTCCTCCTCCTTTGGCTGGCATGGTGAGCTGCAGAAAGGGACCCACGGCCCTCTGCTCTGCTGTTGGGTCTCCTCTCACCTCCCTACCTCAGAGCACCACCCCACTAATCTAAACCCCTGCCCACCATGGCCACTGCAACAGCAAGGAGAAGAGCAACACAGCTAATGTTTCCTTATGTGTCCTATGCATCAGGTGTGGCTGCAACTGCCACCACACAGGTTTGGGGTTGTCAGCTCTCTCCTGGGTCATGGCAGGAAATCTGCTGTGCATGGGCCACAGAGGGATCTTCAGGAGCTCAGCACATATCCATTATAACAGTGTTCAAGGCCCTGTGGGACTAGCTCCCATCCCTCTTTCTGGTCGTTGGTTCTCTAATTCTCACTCATCTCCCCAACATACTGGTAGGCTTGCAGATAAAATACAGGACAGGACACCCAGTTAAGTTTCAATTTCAGATAAGCAATGACTAATATTTTAGTTTAAATATATCCCAAATATTATATTATTCGTTGTTTATCTGAAATTAAGATTTAACTGGAATCCTGTGTTTCTATTCGCTGTATCTGGTGACCCTAGGCACCAGCCTCCAGGTCGTTTCCAAAGCACACACTCTTGAGATCTTGGCATTTGCTCTTCCTTCTGCATGAAATTCTGTTCCTTCAGATAGTCAGATGGCTCCCTTCTCATACTTCTGCAGGTCTTTGCCCAAACAGGACCTCACACAGGGGTGTCTCCAAGTCACTTTCTCCCTGGCACTCTGATGTCCCTTACCCTTAGGATTCATGACCATCTGACATGGCATATGTTTAGCTCATTGTCTGCCTTCCCCTCAGTATCTGGAAAAAACACCTTGAGGGCAGAGCCTCTTTTATTCCCTACTGCACTCCCAGTGCTTAGAAAAGGACCTGGTACAGAGCAGTCACTGACTTAATATTTGCTGAGTGCATCAGAAGTGTTGTGCATGGGTTAGTTCATCTGATGTCCCGCACAGCCCCACGAGACAAATACAGCAAATGTGACACATACCAGAAAAAGCCAGTGGCGGGGCTGGGTCCACGCTCAGGAGACAGACCTCAGAGCCCGTATCAGGCCACCTTATGCATGAACTCATTGTTAAGGGCAGAGGGGCAACTCAGCATTGAAGTAGCAGGTGCTCCAACCTGCCACCCACTAGAGAAAGTAAGGAGCCACCACCATGTCTGAGCATCTAGATTTGCATCAGATTCCTTAATCCCAGGACTTAGACTCCTTGATTTTGCTTATACAATTACTGTTCAATATAAAGGATACTGACCAGCCACTTAAACACCCATGTAACAGCATAGTCTGTATGGGTGTCTGTACTTACTTTTATTTCTTCTTGAACATCAAGATTGTGGAAATTTAAATCAGGTTGCTCTTTCGTAAACTGGTGAAAGTAACATTGGTTTCGCACTTCATCAAAATGCCAACTGGAGTTTCCATATACACTTACCTAGCAAACAAAATAGCAAATCAGTCACTTTCTATTATTCATATGATGCCCACAAAGAAATGATAATTGCCATCCCTGGCCCTGTGCAGGCTGAGTGCACAAATCCTCAGGATTTTCCTTCTAGGTAAGTTAATTCCCTAAAATGCCACCCGCTGGCCCAATTCATGCCCCACAAATGTAATTGTGATGTATTTGTACAGTAAAAGCTGTTCATAATAACCACAATAGCAAACCAATGCTCTCAAACACAGAACAAGGTCAACTTAAGGAAGGGACATTTATAACATATTTTCTTGAACCTTCATGTCCAGGCTCTGAGTTCCTGATTGTGAACAATAGCGCAGGATGGCCAATTTGGGAGAAAGACACATTCCATTGGTCTTGGAGTTTGAATCCTGAGAGAGTGCATATTTAAACTGTAACATCAGGAAATTATTAGAGTCATTCACTTAAAAACTCTATTAGCCCTCAGGAATAAAAGAAATCCAGCAATTTTAAGCATTGGTACCAGCAACATTTGACACTGGTACCAACTTCTTATTTCTGGAAATGCTCACGTCCATAGCTTCACAACATGACTCTCCTGGCTGACTTATATCTCTCGCTAACCCTTCTCAATGTACTCTGAGCTCCCTTAAATATGACAGTTCCTCAGGGCTCTAGGTTGGGCCATTTGTTCATTTCATGCTGAAGAGAACATCTGGACAGCATTTAAAAGTTGAGAGATTTTGCATAAATCATTTTTTTAGTTGGAGGAGCGAATCACACTGGATCCACATTTCCATGGCAACAGCAGGCTGAAGGTAAGCAGTAGCTACTGCCTTTCAAGAGAACATATCCTTGTCAGCTCACTGCATGGCCCACCGAGACACAAATGAGTGTAAGATATTTACAATAAATATAACCAAGAAAAGATGGGTATCCAGAATACAAAACAATTTCAAAGTGATAAACAATCCAAAAGAAAATTGAGGAAAGAAACCATAAATAGGTGTTTCCCAGAAATGTAACCTCATGTGAATGGATGAAAAGATATTCAATATCATTAGTAATTAGAAAAATCATGAGTAATTAGATAAGTGTAAAATGAAGACCTCAATGTGATAACAATTCATGTGCATATGGTAAAAATTACAAAGTCTGGTAGTACTAATTACAAAAGTCTGGTAGTGTAATTAATGAGAATATGTATTTTTTTATACTGTTGGAGCAGGGATATAAATTGGTACAACCACTTTGATAATCAATTGGGCATTATCTTGCAGAGTCAAGCATGTAGGACTCTTTACCCAGCAATTTCACTCTAGTCACTTGCCTTAAAAAAGCATTGTACATGTGCCCCAGGAGAAATAAAGTATGTTTACAAAAGCAGCATTAGTAATAGTAAAAAAAAAACCAAAAACCAAAAAACAAAAAACTGGAAGCAGCCCAATACCCATCAGCTGAAGTTTCAGACAGGTAAATCATGGAACAGTCACACAATGGAATATTACACAATAGAGAAAATGTTATGAACCAGAGCTATCAGAAACAACATGAATATTAAAATAATGAGTGAAAAAAACTAGTTATAAAAGACTACATGTAGCATGATACTTCTCATAAAATTCAAAATGGGAGAAACTATTTTTTTTAATACATTGTATAGGAAAATAAAAGCAATGTCTTGGAAATACTGAAAAATTCAAGATAATGGTTACCTATAAGAGGAGGCACAGCAGGGATAGGGAGTCACCTACAGATGGTTTCAACTGTGTTGGTTATGTCCAAGTTCCTAATTTGGAGATGGGTTCATTGATGGTCACTATGTTGTTAACTTACCTAGCTTAGATATATACTACATGTATTCTTAAATAGTTTTATCTAGGTATAACTGAACATAATAAACTGTACATATTTGGGATGTACGATTTGATCAGTTGTGACATGCTTACATGCTTGTGACCGTCTCTGCATGATCAGAATGTGAACATAGCCATCCTTGGTGATCCCTGATCCCACACTCCAGCTCCTCCCCACCTCCCTCTCATACCTAAGCAACAATCAGGCTGCTTTCTTTCTCTATAGATGAGTGTGCATTTTCTGGAATTTCATGTAAGTGGAATAATATAGTACATACTCTCTTGTCTGGCTTCCTTCACTATGCATAGTGATTCTGAGATTCATCCATGTTGTTTGTTACCAATAGTTCATTCCTTTTTATTGCTGAGTATTATTCCCTTGTATGGTTATACTGCAAGGTGTTTATACATCTATCATATATTATTTTTTTATGTATCAGCTATTACATTAAAAAAGAACCATAGCCTTGGCTACCGTGGAGAACTGATGTAAGGATGGGAAAACTGGGTGCTCCTCATGTGAATGGATGAAAAGATATTCAATATCATTAGTAATTAGAAAAATCATGAGTAATTAGATAAGTGTAAAATGAAGACCTCAATGTGATAACAATTCATGTGCATATGGTAAAAATTACAAAGTCTGGTAGTACTAATTACAAAAGTCTGGTAGTGTAATTAATGAGAATATGTATTTTTTTATACTGTTGGAGCAGGGATATAAATTGGTACAACCATTTTGATAATCAATTGGGCATTATCTTGCAGAGTCAAGCATGTAGGACTCTTTACCCAGCAATTTCACTCTAGTCACTTGCCTTAAAAAAGCATTGTACATGTGCCCCAGGAGAAATAAAGTATGTTTACAAAAGCAGCATTAGTAATAGTAAAAAAAAAACCAAAAACCAAAAAACAAAAAACTGGAAGCAGCCCAATACCCATCAGCTGAAGTTTCAGACAGGTAAATCATGGAACAGTCACACAATGGAATATTACACAATAGAGAAAATGTTATGAACCAGAGCTATCAGAAACAACATGAATATTAAAATAATGAGTGAAAAAAACTAGTTATAAAAGACTACATGTAGCATGATACTTCTCATAAAATTCAAAATGGGAGAAACTATTTTTTTTAATACATTGTATAGGAAAATAAAAGCAATGTCTTGGAAATACTGAAAAATTCAAGATAATGGTTACCTATAAGAGGAGGCACAGCAGGGATAGGGAGTCACCTACAGATGGTTTCAACTGTGTTGGTTATGTCCAAGTTCCTAATTTGGAGATGGGTTCATTGATGGTCACTATGTTGTTAACTTACCTAGCTTAGATATATACTACATGTATTCTTAAATAGTTTTATCTAGGTATAACTGAACATAATAAACTGTACATATTTGGGATGTACGATTTGATCAGTTGTGACATGCTTACATGCTTGTGACCGTCTCTGCATGATCAGAATGTGAACATAGCCATCCTTGGTGATCCCTGATCCCACACTCCAGCTCCTCCCCACCTCCCTCTCATACCTAAGCAACAATCAGGCTGCTTTCTTTCTCTATAGATGAGTGTGCATTTTCTGGAATTTCATGTAAGTGGAATAATATAGTACATACTCTCTTGTCTGGCTTCCTTCACTATGCATAGTGATTCTGAGATTCATCCATGTTGTTTGTTACCAATAGTTCATTCCTTTTTATTGCTGAGTATTATTCCCTTGTATGGTTATACTGCAAGGTGTTTATACATCTATCATATATTATTTTTTTATGTATCAGCTATTACATTAAAAAAGAACCATAGCCTTGGCTACCGTGGAGAACTGATGTAAGGATGGGAAAACTGGGTGCCAAAACAAGTCCTAAAGATAAGAGATGATATGGTTTGAAGTATGGGCAGCAGTTTAAAGCAGATTGTGCAGTTGTACTGACTAGACCCACCTCTTAGCCTTTCATTTTCTAGCTGTGGGACCTAGGGCAAGGTGCTTAACATTTCTTACTCAAGTCTGCTCATCTGTGAAACAAAAATCAAAACCTAACTCATAGGATTGAAGAGTGGATTCAACAAATTAATGAATATTAAATACCTAGCACAGATCCTGACACATAGTAAACATTTGCCAAATGTTTGTTATATCATTATCATTTTTAACAAGTGGATAGACTGGAGAAAAGAAAATTTAAGGAAGTAAAACTGTCAGGACTTGCTGATGACCTGTTCACCAGGCTGCACATTTGTACCATTCACTGAACGTGAGATGGGAGGCTGCAGGGAGAAGATCACACAGTCAGCTTGGACTGTTGTCAATTCTGAGTGCCCTTGGGTCATCAGTAAGTTGATGTCCAGAAGTCATCCTCTTAAATGTTTATGGAAAAGGTTAAGAAGGGAGAAGGGACTGGAAAGGGGAGAGATGACGTAGAGTAAAAGTTCCACAGAAAACCAGAGAGAACGTGAACCAGAGCCAGTGGAGGAACTGGCCTGGGACAGGAGCAGTTGCTAGATAAAACACAAGACACCCAGCTAAATCTGAATTGCAAATAAACTGTGAGGAAGTTGTTCATGTAAGTATGTCCCATGCAATTTTTATACTAAAAAATTGAACATTTTTTACCTAAAATTCAGATTTCCCTAGGCTTCCTCAATTTTTATTTGTAAATCTGGTAACCCTGGACAAGACAGCCATGGCCTTTGCTATAAAATTGAGTAGGAAGAGGGTGGGGAATGGGGACAAACACCTTAGCTGGCTTCTGCTCTCTCTTTGAAATGGAGTTTGCTGAGAGTGGTAAGATGGGGAGAAGGCAGGATTCCTGAAGAGGAGGGAGGGCATGCTGATCGGCTGGATTTAGTAAAAGAGTCCCAAGATGTTTGGATGACTCCGTTCAGGTGGAGATAATGAATGTATGATGTGTCCACAGGCTTGGATACCAAACTTCAAGCAAGAGAAGGTGGATGATTGGATTCACCTATGGTGAGGGTTTTGTTGGACTTAGAACACATCAGCTCTACAATGAAATAAAAAATCTACATCCAAATGTTAGGGGCCTTGGGTACCTTATTTCTATTTCCCTGAGAAAATTTTTCCCCTCCCCATTAACTATATCCATTAATCTTTTCCTTAAAAGGGCTTTATAAGTAACCATTCTAATCACCTAAGATCTACCCATTTTCCCTTTGTAAATTGGGTAAGTTGGTACTTACCCAGTTGTTGGGTGGTGTGGTTGTGCCATTTTCATGGGGACAGTCATGCCAGATATAATAATCAGTATACTTCCCTGTCCGGTTCCGACTCAGTTGAAACCAAGCATGTTTATCACTGGTATGGTTTGGTATGAAATCTATTATCAGTTTTAAACCTAAGGAGTGAAAACATTTCAAATGTTAGGAAAAGATTATACTAGCACAATACATGACAGTTAATGAAAAAATGGTTTAAACTAGGCATTTGGAGAAATGCTTTTCCCAACCCCCAACCCCCACTCCCATCCTACCCAACTTCCATTCAATTTACCTTTATCATGTGTGGCTGCAACCAGACTCTCAAAATCTTTCATTGTTCCAAAAATAGGATCGATTTCTCGGAAATCTTCAACACCATATCGGAAATCTTTAAGGGGTGATTTATAAAATGAAGTAATCCAAACAGTTTTTATATTTAAAGTTGTGATGTAGTCCAGCTTCTCTTGAATACCTGAAGAAAAAAAGTCAAGGCTGTGAAAAAGTTTTGTGTTTTTTGGTTGACGGACTAAAAATCAAACGATTTGCCTAATATTGAAATACTTATATTGAGACAGAAGTATTTGGAATTTTGTTGAATTTCAGTGAAGTCTAGTTCTACTAATAACATCAAATTCGTATTCTGGCAATAACCCTTGTCCTTTAACATAGATCCATAACATTAAAAAAAAAAACCTTCTTTTGGTCGTGTTTTATATTTAAAACCAGGACTACAGCATTGTTCATTTATTCTATCCAGAGTTTTTAAGCACCTGGTCTAGGCCAGGTGGTGGGCTAAGTGCTAAGGAGCAAAGAACACATGACCCCTTATAGTCACCTGGCCTAGTCTGCACTGTCCAGTGTGATAGCCACTTGCCACATGTGGCACTGAGCACTTGCAATGTCACATGTCTGAACTGAGATGTGCTATAAATGTAAAACACACCCCAGACTTTGAAGATGCAGAAAAGAAAGGATGTAAAATTTTAATATTTTTATATTGATTACACATCTAAGTGTATATTGAATTAAACAAAATATATTACTAAAATTAATTTTACCTGACCTTATTCTTACTATTTTTTTAATGTGGCTCCTAGAAAATTTAGTTATATATGTGGTTCACAATCTATTTCCTCTGACACTGCTGCAGCCAAGAATTTATACAGAAGAAAATTCTAGGTTCAACTGAGAAGAGACACAGGAACGAAACTCTTTGTACTTAGAACCTTGTAGGACAAACTAGCACAGTGCTTTTGCGCCTCTAGTTCAGAGACATGCAGATTCAGAGACTTGAGTCTAAGATTCTAGTATTCAATCTCCAGGAACTTTCTGTGGGACCCCCTACATGGCTCTCTACAGTCAGAGCCTGTCAGAGGTCACACAGTAGGCTTCCCCTCTAACAGGTTGCTTGTTTTTGTCCTCTTTGTACCTCAGCTCCCCCCACAGAGGTGGCTGTGAAACCTCACAGAGTGCCAGCAGGCAACGAAAGGATCATAAGTCAGAACAACAATACAATATATCTTCAGAAAGGCAGAAAGAAACAGGATGATAAAACAAAGAGCTGGACAGACACAAAGTAAACAAGGGATCTCAGGCCCAACTCTAAGGCACAGGGGCAATCACCAAAAACCGAAACCTGGAATGGTTTCTTCAAATAACAACAAAATCCCCTCAATCTCAAGGACAAATATCTATTGGTTACCAGAAGCAATCAGTCCTTCAAGGAAGTTATTGGAAATGACAAATACAAGAGCTGATTAGAAGTTGTCCTGTTTATGAGAATTTGGTGTATATTTAGAAGGAGATTACAAGCACTTACTGGGAAATAGGTGGAGGTGGAGGCATTAGGGCAGGGGGGTGGGGGTGGCAGGGAAGTCACCCAGATATATTACAAGGCAGTATCAGAAGGTGCTAGAAACAACCCATTTGCGGGGGTGGGGTGGGGGCAGGGAAAGAACTCAGTCTAATCAGAAGGTTAAATAAAGATTACTGCAGGAAACAGGTTTGAACTACACCTTGGAGGACAGATAATATTTCAGTTAGCATAGATGCAGGAAGACTAAAAAAAGAGAGAATGATATGCATATGCAAAAGAAAGCCTTTTATTAGTAATTTGGTAAGTTGGAGATTTCAGGAGTTTATTTGTGACATTTTAAAGTTAAATTAAGCTGATTCCCACTTCCCAAACTCTATTAAATCATTCTGCTTTATTTTCTTCAAACCAAGTATCATTATGAAAAATTACCTTGTTAGTTTATTTGTTTCTTATTGTTTTCTTTAACTAGAGTGACCCTATCGACCAATTTGCCCAGGACAGTCCCAGTTAATGCCTGCTATCTGGGATAATTCTACTTTTAAAGTATCCTGGGTTTTGAGCAATAAAGTATAAGGATGTTCTACATGTAACTCCCCATGTTTTTTTAATAATTCTTAATTCAAATAACAACCAACACATTGCTATGCCTTTTTTTCCTTTCATTGCTCAGAATTTAAACGTTAAAGACATCACATAATATTTTTCTCAAATATTTATGCTTTGTTCATTAGTAAGAAACTCTCAGCCAGATTGCCAAACTAGCTACTTACATATACTGGAAAAGCAATTCTAAACTGTCACTCTGAGATAATCAGCTATAAAGTGCACAGAAGCAAGAAGCATTTCACGAGGAAACATGCTCCAGGTAAAAAGTTACAACAGCCAACCAACTAAGATATGTACTTACTGGGCAGTAAATTAACTCACTGGGGGCTCAAAGACCTTCAGCAAATAACCTTTTATCATATGGGAAGAATTACTGGGTTCTGAATGGCTTAAGATATGATAAACAAGGGGAACTTGGCATGACTAATCATACCGGAATGTGCTGACAGTACAATCCAAGCATAATTGAGTTTCAAGAACTGAGAGAGCCATAAACCAGCCTCAGCCTGGCCCCACCCTAAACTCTCTCCAGCACGCACCTTTTAGATCTCCATTCCCATCCTTATCACTGTCCTTGAAAGATCTCGGGTAGATCTGGTACATGGGACCTGCTTGCCACCAGTCGAGGCACTTTGGAGAGATGGCAATGATGGCTATGGTGGCCGCAATGAGCACCAGCACAGAAGCCACAATGAGCCAGAAGAGGATCTCCCGGGGAACCCGGTAGCGGGCCTGGCGTGAGAACTGGAATAGCACGTCCTTGGGCATCCCTGCATAGGGCCTGATGTCCTTCACGACGGGCTCGGAGGAGTCAAGGATGCCCACAGCACTGTGCTGCGAGCTATCTGCTGGGCTGTCTGGATCCAGGTGCCTCTCTAGGATGTCTTCATTTTGGACAAACCCATTGTTTGTCCAGCATCCCTTCGTACCCATTCGCATGGAGTCTCTCTTGCTTTTATCCTCAGCCATGTCCCACAGTCTTATCCCTTCGGAGTGCCTTCCTGCAATAACAAAGGTAGGAAGGTGGCTTACTGAAATGTTTGGTCATGTTAATGAGCTTTGTGTGGTTTATAAATAAACCTGGCTGGACAAAGTCCAGCCAAGGGAGGAAAGGGTAAAGGTAGAGGGGGCTTTAAAAAAATATCTCTTTCAAGGCCTGAGGTTGATGTAGCTGCAGTCACAACATTGAGGGATTCAGACCTGGACTGGCACAGAGGCATAGAGGAGGAGAAATGGTAAGAAGAGGCAGGGTTCCACTGCAATTTAAGATGTTACTTGAGTACACCAATGTTCCCAGCAGCATTATTCATAATAGTCAAAATGTGGAAACAAATGTCCATCAACAGATGAATGGACAAACAAAATGTGATATATGCATACAATGGAATATTATTCAGCCTTAAAAGGGAAGGAAACTCTGATACAGGCTACACCATGGATAAACCTGGAAAACATTATGCAAAGTAAAATAAGCCAGACACAAAAGGACAGACATTATGTGATTCCACTTATATGAGGTACCTAGACAAATTTAACAGACAGTAGAAGTGTGGTTACCAGGGATTGGGGGGCAGTGGGGAGTTACTGTTTAACAAGTAAAGAGTTTCCATTTGGGATGATGAAAAAGTTCTGGAGATGGATAGTGGTGATGATTGCCTAACAATGTAAATGTACTTAATGCTGCTTAATTGTACATTTAAAAATCATTAAATTGGTGAATTTTATGTTATGTGTATTTTACCACGATTTTAAAAATAGCTTTAAAATTTTTCATTTTAGCTAGGTTTGAGAAAAAGAAGCAAATACTGAGTTTTGCAAGGAGAAATGGGTTTCTTTCTTTCTTTGTTTTGTTAAACTGGGAGACATATTGGTAATAAATATGCCAAAGAACTTGTGTCTTTAACATTAAAGGTCTCTTCCTACAAGTCCAAAAGGAAGAGGGTCTGGAGACATGGAACGACAGCACTTTCTTACTGAAGCTAATTATATTTTATTTCAGTTCAGGGCAATCCTATAAATATTCATTTGTAAGTTCAGGTCCACTTCAGGTGCCTTCAGTCTTTTCTGCTATTTTCAGAAAAGGACATTTTTGCTCATTCTTGGAAGCACTTTCCAAAGGGAATTGGGGGTGGAAGTTTCCAAATCTACAAGTTCAAGTGCTTTACTCCAGGTAAATAGATGTCCATACACACACTAAAGAGTTAACTGTTGACAAGTGTGAAATACCTGTGCAGTCCTGAGGGAATTGCATTAGTTAGGTGCACTTTCCTAGAAGGTTCTCCAGGCCTTAAAAGCATGTGATGAGTCATGGTTTCCATTTAATCAATGGCACTTATACAGCCCTATGACTCCTTTGATCAGATAACAATAATTTTTGTCTTTAAATGAGGAAAGTTACATGAATTCCTAACATTACTTTTATTTTTTGTAGCATGGCTTAGAGGCAGTATATAGTACAAATGAATGAGCTACTTGATTTTGGCCAAGTTATTTTTAAAATGAGTAAATCCCAATACTCAGCTCATTGAATACATCCAGTAAGTGACCTCTCTCATTATTATTATGCATATTGCATATTTTTAAAAAATCAATTCACTTTTGTCTTGAAATTGCTTTCTCTCTCAAACACATAACAGAATACCATAACAGGAGCAAATTCTTGAAATATAGTTACTATTTGGGGGAAAAAACTGCAAAAGTACCCATAGTTTTAAAATAATTTTAACTCATAAAAAACAACTTGTAATTATAAACCTTTAAATTCTAAGTGTGCAATTCTATAAATGCAGAGGAAACTCTACATCATAGCAAAATACCTTCATAACAGAAATATTCCATTTTGACTTTACACTTTATTTAAAGTAACAGTAACTCAATAACACTTTGAAACTCCAGAACATGCAAATTAGAATCTTTTAAAAGCAATTTAGAAAAATTATCTGGTCTCTGGTGGGGGAAAGGGGTGGGTGAGTTGGTGGTTAAAAAAATAAAAGTAAGTGCAAAAGAAGATTGCTTGAATTGATAGAAATTTTTAAATTTATTACATCACAAAGCATACTAATTGAGCATATGACGAACTGGAAGATATATTGGTAATAAGTATGTCGAAGAACTCGTGGTTAACATTAAAGGTATATATATATAATTAGACATTATGTATACACTTATAAAATTTTATGATGTCAATTTGAACATATGTGTCAGTAGAAAACTTGGAAAAAATAATATAAACAGACATTTCACAGAAATCAACTCACTAATATCAGAGAAATACTTAAGCATTTTCAATAACACTGGTAAAGAACTTCTAAAAGAAAATAGAGCTGCCAAAGGTCCAATGTAAATTGATGCAGTAATTCTAGAAAGTAACTTAGAAATGTGTATCATGAGTTTTAACACTTTCACAGTAATAAATGAGGCTAGTCCTATCTAATTTTAAAATTAAAACTCCAGAAAAATAGAGAGTTGATACTAAAAAGGGATAGGTCAAATAATCCACTGAACAGATTAGAGTTACCAAAAACAGATAGATCCATATAGAGAAGGAAATTTAGAATATGAAAAGGCAACATTTCAAATCAGTGAGGAAACGAAAGATTATTTAGTAAATGATGCTAGACAATTGGCTAGATATTTGGAAAAGAAAGTAAAGCCATATATATAAATATACCTTATTCCTTACATCAAAATAAGTTCCATGTGGATCAGATTTAAAAGTAAAAAATAAAACTGTAAAAAGGCTTAGACAAAAATTTGCATATTTTAAAACATAATCTTAGGGTTGGAAAGCCTTTCTAAATATAATACCCAAAACTCGAGCCTATAAAGGAAGAGTTGACATACTTCATTCCAAGAATTAAAAAACAGATAGAAGCCAAATGGCAAAAAAGAAGAAAATACTTATAACACTTATGACAAGCTAATTTCCATAATACAGAAAGTGTACAAATTAACACCAAAAAATAGAAAAAGCAGTTGACGGGGGAAAAAAAGTGTTATAAGTGGTTAATAAACACAAAATTAAACAAATAGAAACAAAAATAAACAAGATATACTATTTTTAAACTATCATTTTGGCAAATTGAGAAAGTTTGATCAGCTCAGATAAATAAATTTATAATTTGTAGGCATTATGTGCCGAGCATCAAAAAATGTGTAGGGAACTGGCACTCCCATATATTCATGGTGGGAGGATAAACTAATGAGAAACTCCCATAAACAATTTGGGAGTATATACAAAAATTCTAAACTGTATAACTTTTACCTCAGAAATTATACTGCTAAAAATACATCTCAGTGATATAACCAACATGATATATGTACAAGAATATATACTACAACAAAAGTGGAAACCATACAAATATCCGTCAATACAGAATCATATAAATATGGCATATTTAGACAATGGAATACCACCTAATGCCTACAAATTATAAGTTTCTATACCTAGCTGATAAAGAAAACTGTCCAAAATATACTGTGGAGTGGAAGTGGAAAAAAGTGTTTTAAATCAATATGTATAATTAGAATTGGAGGTGGGAACATTCATTTTGTGTATGATATGCATTTTGGTCTTCAAAGTTTCTCATATTGTTCTAATTTTTCTTTAATAAATATGTATTAATCTTCCATTGGAAAAATTTAAGTTAGGGAACCCTGAGTTGGGAGTCTCTACCTAGAACTTCCAGGAAGGTGGTAGAGTTCAGTGTAAGGTGATGACTCCTAGCAACAGCCACCCAAAATTCATTAACACCCAATACTCATATCTAAACTAAGGAGAAAAAAGCAAACTTCAAAAAGCAGAAAGAAAACATGGATTCAATGAACAAATATTGAAACCCTGGGGAGGAGGAATCTGGCAGTCATTTGAAGAAGATAACCGCAACGCTGAGATCTCCAAGTACAAAGGCGGCGTCTTACTTACTTTCAAGGAGATGTAGAAGGAAATATTGATTGTAGAAAGCCAAACACACTACTCTTAAAACTTGTAAACATGAATATGGAACAGGAACACCAAGAAAGCTTTAAGAGCTAACTCAGATAATCAGATAAAGAATCAGAGATAATGATGACAAACTGGCTCAGTAAACTCAAATCCCAAGTGAGTTATGCAATCATGACAATAAAGCCAAGAAGAATAAAATATCTAGAAAACATGACAGCACAATGCAGGTTACCACAGGAGCCAGAAATATCCTGCACTTTAACAAAGAAGCAAACATACAGAAAGCAATAATCAATGAAAAAAATACATATATATAAAACAAATTTTAAAGCCCTATTATAAAGACTGCCTGCCACTTGGTAGCAAACCCACCAAAGTAACACATAGCATAGAACCTGTCAAATTTGTAAACAATTAAAATACAAGGATTTTCCATATTGCATTTACCTGTTCACAGCCTCTGTGCACTACGGGAAGGAGCTGTTGCATAGTTATGTTTAGGCTCATAGCATCTAGCTCAGTGCCTGGTATATTACTAAATCAGTAAAAGAATATTTACCTAAAGATGGACAGACTTAACCCTATGCTCAAGAAGGAAGATGACAAGGAGGAAGAGAAAGAGAAAAGTACAAAGTACATTCTGCACAAAAATGTAGATTCCTATCACTGCTCCAAATGTTCTTGCCTTCGTACAGTTCAATGATTAAAATTTGAAGTCAGAGGAAGATTCAAGCCTGCCTCTACCACTTGCTCTCTGCTTGATACTAGGCAAATCTGCCAGCTTCTCTAAGCCTCAGTTACCTCAGTGGCCGAATTTAATCTGGTTCCAGGATCAACATTATTAAATATAGTCCAGAGTAAAATATTTTTTAAAACAGTTCTAATTAGAAGGAAACAAACAAAAACAATAGATATATCCCAGCTGGAAAGGGAACCACTGAAATCAAAGGATAATAATTAAAACACATTTTTGCTGAAGGTTAAACTATTTTTAAATGTTTTATAACCAAATATAACAAATAGCAAAAGAAATGTTGACAGAACATGAGAGTGTGACAAATGTCAC